GCTGTCCCTCAGCTCTTCAGCTCAAGGCGAGCGCTCTGCCACTTGAGCTACAGCGCCACTTCCGGTTTTCTGGTGGTTTATTGGAGATAGGATTCTCACAGTCTTTCCTGCCCGGGCTAGCTTTGAACCTCGATCCTCAGATCTCAGCCTCCTGAGCAGCTAGGATTACAGGCGTGAGCCACCAGCGTCCGGCTCACAGCTCCACTTTCACCTTTTTGTTTTTAACTAGTTTACTGGAGATAGGAGTCTCATAGACTTTCCTGTCCAGGCTGGCTTCGAACAGTGATCCTCAGACCTCAGCATCCTGAGTAGTTAGGAATCCAAGCATGAGCTTTTTGTAGTTAATTGGATAAAAGAATCACTCGAAAAAGGCTTTTCCAGGTGTGGTGCCAGTGGCTCTCACCTGCAGTTCTAGCTACTCAGGCTGAGATCTGAGGATCTCGGTTCAAAGCTAGCTCCAGCTAGGAAAGTCCATGACTCTTTTTTTTTTTTTGGTCCGGTCGTAGGGCCTGAACTCTGGGCCTGAGCACTGTCCCTCAGCTCTTCAGCTCAAGGCTAGCACTCTACCACTTGAGCCACAGCGCCACTTCCGGCTTTTTTTTTCTGCTTATGTGGTGCTGAGGAATCGAACCCAGGGCCTCATGCATGCAAGGCAAGCGCTCTACCACTAAGCCACCTTCTCAGCCCTCCATGAGACTCTTATTTCCCATTAACCACTCAAAAACTGGAAGTGGCGCTGAGGGCTTGAGCCTTGAGCACAAAGAAGCTCAAGGACAGCATCCTGGTCCCAAATACAAGCCCCACAACCAAAAAACAAAAAGTCTTTTCCTGCCCAGGCTGGCTTTGCAATCCTCAGATTTCAGCATCCTGAGTAGCTAAGATTATAGGTGTGAGCTACCAACAACTGGCTACTTCTGGCCTTTTCACGGTTAATTAGAAAAAGTATCTCACAGACTTTCCTACAGAGATTGGCTTTGAACAGTAATCCTCAGATCTTAGCATCCTGCGTGGCTGAGTGGCCATAAATCCCTGGCACTGGGTATCACATACATACAGAAAAGTATTTTACTCCAGATAATATTTATTTTACTTCACCCTTAAAATATCTCCAGGTTTAAAACAGTTTAGGAAAGAGAAATGACTAAGACCATTTACCAAACTGTGCACATGCTTTTCACCCCCTAAAAGAGACAGAGATACTAGTGTTCTCAAATCATCAACTGTGAAGACTGCACGGCTGTTTGGCCATTCTTGATTAAAATATAAACAAATTTAAATCTAGAATAATCCTAGCTCAGAGATGATAAATTGGTTTTGCATTCCAACGGCTAGTCTTTGAAGTGCTATGTGGAAAAGTATTCTGTAGCTCCATCTAGCAGTGTTGGAAGTGTGTAAATAGGTTACATATCATAACAAAAATACATTGTATTTACTCAACAGAGCTAGGGAGTTTTAGAAGCTGAGCTGCCGCCGGGCGCTGGTGGCTCACGCCTGTAATCCTAGCTACTCAGGAGGCTGAGATCTGAGGATCGCGGTTCAAAGCCAGCCCGGGCAGGAAAGACTGTGAGACTCCTATCTCCAATAAACCACCAGAAAACCGGAAGTGGCGCTATAGCTCAAGTGGTAGAGCGCTCGCCTTGAGCTGAAGAGCTGAGGGACAGCGCCCAGGCCCAGAGTTCAAGCCCCACGACCGACAAAAAAAAAAAAAAAAAGAAGCTGAGCTGCCTAATTGTCATAGTTCCATAGCCAGAAATCTGACTCATCTTTAAGAAAGAAACCGGGAACACACATGCCTGGATATACACTTTCAGAGGTAGTTTTTGAAAAGTTTTACCATTTCTGACCAACAAAGACAAATTATGAAGGAATACATTTTCTTCAGTTTGGATAGCTCTCAATGAAATTTTAGCTCTATTAACAAACTTGATTTCCAATCCATACCAGCAACTACATTATCTCATAATGAATGGTCACATTATACTCCATTGCCATCTACACAGAAACAAATTATCTTTAGGGGCTGGGAAGGTGGCTCAGTGGTAGAGCGCTTGCCTTGCATGCATGAGGCCCTGGGTTCGATTCCTCAGCACCACATAAGCAGAAAAAAAAAGCTGGAAGTGGCGCTGTGGCTCAAGTGGTAGAGTGCTAGCCTTGAGCTGAAGAGCTGAGGGACAGCACCCAGGCCCAGAATTCAGGCCCCACAACTGGCAAAAAAAAAAAACAAAAACAAAAACAAATTATCTTTAGGGATAAGGGTATCACTAAGTGGCAAAACATGTTATTTATCATGTAGCACAAGGACCTGGATTCTATCCCCAGCACCAAAAAGAAGAAAGGTGGGAGGGGGAGGGGAGAGGAGAAAGGGGAAGCAAAAGTCTTCCAAGATAGAAAGAAATCTTCAAAAATCAACACATGTGACATTTGTAATTTTAAATATAAAATTACCATTTGCACACACAACACTCACATACCAAATCACAAATTAAGTTTTGTAAAATGCTCTATTTCCAACTGAAAACTTAATGACAGGCACATTATACCTCTTAAATAGAGACCGAAAGATGGCAACAATTCACTTCTCTATATAATTCAAAGAGAAAGTAAGCTCCTTTCCAGATTTCCACAATGAAGATATTCCCTAAGTAACTTATGTTGTTGCTTGTGGGGCTTGAACTCAGGGCCCAGGTGCTCTCACTGAGTTCTTTTGCTAAAAGGCTAGTGCTCTACCATTTTAAGCCACAGTACCACTTCCGGTTTTTTGGTGGGTAATTGGAAATAAAGAGTCTCACAGCTGGGCACTAGTGGCTAACATATATAATCCTGGCTACTAAGGAGGCTGAGATCTAAAGACTGTGGTTTGAAGCCAACCTGGGCAGGAAAGTCTGTGAGAATTTTATTTCCCATTAACCACCAGAAAACAGGAAGTGGCACTATGGCTACAAGTGGTAGAGAATCAGCCTTGAGCAAAAAGAGCTCAGTGACAGCACCCAGGCCCCAAGTTAATCCCACAACAGAACCCATCCCCAAAATAATCTGACTTTCCTGCCTGAGCTGGTTTTGAACCTTGATCTTTAGATCTCAGCATCCTGAGTAACTAGGATTACAGATAGAAGCCACCAATGCCCAGCCCCAATTAACTATTTTAACCTCAATGGGGCTCCCTGTACCCACTGCTTTCTCCCCATATTGCTTATATTATCTAGCCTTCAAAACACAGTGTGAAGTAAGTCGATTAACAAAACTTTTTATAAATTTGAAAACAATTAGCACCAGTGGCTCATGGCTATAATCTTAGCTCTTAGGAAGCTGAGATGTAAGGATCACATTTTGATGGTCAGCCCTGGTAGGAAAATCTGTAAGATTCATAAATCAGCAGTAAAGTGGTAGAATACTAGCCTTGAGCAAAAAAGCTCAGACAGTGCCCCATGTTGAGTTTAAGCCCCATGATAAACAAAAATAAAAATAAATTGAAAGAAAAACTTTAAAAATTCGAATACTAGCAAAAGGCTTCCTTCCCTTTTCCAGGACTAGGATTCTAACTGAAGTACTTGCTTAGCAAGCATGAGGCTGGGGGTTCAATCCCTAGCAATGTAAAAATAATAAAAGTCCTTTCTTGCCCAACAGAGGTGGCTCACGTCTGTAATCCTACTCAGGAGGCTGAGATTTGAGGATCACAGTTCAAAGACAGCCCAGGCAAGAAAAGTTCATGAGACTCTTATCTCCAATAAACCACCAGAAAGACTGGAAGTGGCGCTGTGGCTCAAGTGGTAGAGTGCTTGCCTTGAGCTGAAGAGCTGAGAGACAGTGCCCAGACCCAGAAGTTCAAACCCCACAACTGACAAAAAAAGTCATGTCTTCACAGATTTTCACTTTACAATATTAAACACCATACTTCTTTTGTTTCATTTTTTATGAAGACAGTAATTAAAATTTAAATAGTTTATTAACAGAAAGGCACTAAGTGGAAACTATAGTTTATAGAAATACAAAGTCATTTCTAAAATAACCTAAGAACTAAAAGACCTAACTTCTCAAAGTTTGCTTACCATCCCCCTGCATGTCTGAAGTCCATAGTGTCAGATTATCACGTAACAACTGCATGATAAGTGTAGAGTCTTTATAGCTTTCTTCACTCAGAGTATCCAGTTCTGCAATTGCATCATCAAAAGCTGCTTTTGCCAACCTGAAATAAACGTAAGAATTAAAGTTAAAAAACTAAAATAGTACCTATAAAAAGTCATCAGGAGTTGGACACCAGTGGCTCTCGCCTGTAATCCTAGCTGCTCAGAAGGCTGAGATCTGAGGATCACGGTTCAAAGCCAGCCTGCGCAGGAAACTCTGTGAGACTCCTATCTCCATACACTACCAGAAAACAGGAAGTGGTGCTGTGGCTCAAGGGGCAGAGCTCTCGTCTTGAGCTGAAGAGCTCGCCTTGAACTGAAGAGCGCCGGAACAGTGCCCAGGCCCAGAGTTCAAGCCCCATGACCAACCAAAAAAAGGCATCAGTGGCTCACGTCTGTAATCCTAGCTACTCAGGAGGCTGAGATCTGAGGATGGCAATTCAAAGCCAGCCTAAGCAGGAAAGTCCATCAGACTCATCTCCAATATTAGCCATCAGAAAACTGGAAATGGCGCTGTGGCTCAAGTGGTAGGAACGCTCGCCTTGACTGAAGAACTGAGGGACAGCGCATAGGCCCAGTTTAAGCTCCACTATCCACCAAAAAAAAATATTAAAAAGTTAGCTAATGGTCTTTTAGTTATTACCATGAGTAGTAGTAACAACGATAGAAAAGAAAAATAGATGGCCCGGGAAGTTGGCTCAGTGGTAGAGTGCTTGCCTTGCATGCATGAGGCCCTGGGTTCGATTCCTCAGCACCAC